TTTGCTCAGTGGTTAGAGCATCAACTGGTGGGCGGACTGAAGGGTCCTGGGTTTGATTCCGGCCAAGGGCAGGTACCTTGGTTGCAGGCTCGATCCCTGGCCCCATTTGGCAATGGAAAAATTATCCTCAGGTGAGGGTTAAAGGATAAAAAATAAAAATGGGAACACACAGTTAGCACGTGTCCCTTCTGTTCCTGGAAAGTAGCCACAAGCAACAAAGAAAATGAGAAATGAACGCCATTTTCTGATGTAACCAAGAGATGGCTGAAACCCTAAGTCACAAAATAAGTGGCAGCTCTTCCCAGAGTAGTGGAGGCTGAGTGCAGGGCAGGCTCCTCAGCTGCAGAGCGCAGACGAGCTGGGAGGCTCAGCTTCCAAAGACCGTGGGGACTCTGAGAGGCCGACCGGGAGTCCGTGTTTGTAAGGGCAGGGGGAGGTGTGTGGACTGGCCTGGGAGCTCCTCTGAACCCCCTTGGGCTCCAAAAAGCAGGAGAGGGAGGGCGAAATAAAAATCACTCTACAGCCCAGCCGGGTGAGGCTTATCGACCTAGGATCCAGGAGATCGGGGTTCGATTCCCGGTCAGAGCACATGCCCGGGTTGAGGGCTCAGTCCCCCGTAGGGGGTGTGCAGGAGGCAGCTGATCAGTGATTCTCATCATTGATGTTTCTCTCTCTCCCTCTCCCTTCCTCTTTCTGAAATCAATAAAGACATATTTTATAAAACCCACAAAATTGAGCATCCATAGAAACCTCAGTAAATTCCCTGAAGTAGAAATAACATAGCATGAATGTGAAAATACACAGCAGCTGGTACAGTAAGGGCACCTTCCAGTCTGGGTGGACCCAGTTCTGCATGGACGGTGGGCATCCACACTGGTGTATGCCAGTGAATATCGTCCCTGAATGTAGACTGTGTCCCCTGAGCACAGCGCAATAAGGTAGAAATCCATAACAAACCCAGAAAACAAACCCAGCAACAAAGCTGTTAACTTGGGTAAAAGAAGTCCAAGCCAAATGGAAGACTATCTGGAAGATAGCCATGCAGAACACTCCATAGGGTCTATGGGTTAGAAAAGAGGGGCTAAGAGGAAAAGCTTAGCTGCAAATAAATACCTTCATATATCCTATCAGCTTTCTATAGAAAGAGATTTATGACAAGGGATTAGCTCATGCAATGACACAGGCTGGGATGTCCCAAGATCTGCAGTTGGTAAGCTGGAGACTCGGGAGCCGATGGTGTGAGTTCCACCCTGAGTCTGAGTCTAAAGTCAGGAAGAGACCGAGGTCGCAGCTTCAGACAGAGCAAATTCTCTTGCTCAGCCTTTGTGTTCTATCCAGACCTTCCCCACCCTCAATGGGAAGGGTCATCTGTTTTACTTAGTCAACCGATGCAAATGTTAATCTCATCAGAAACACCCTCACAGACACACCCAGGGTAACATTTAACCAAATATCTAAATACCCTGTGGCTCAGTCAATTCTCCTTAAATTTAATTATAATATTAACACATTCCCAATAAAAATACCAACAGGGTTTTTGGGAATTTGACAAGCTGATTCTGAATTTCACATAGTAAAATGAGCAAGTAAGAGAAGCCAGAATATTCTGAAAAAGAAGCCCTACCGCGTGTCTGGAAACATATGGATGAGCTCCGAGCTGCCTTTCAGCCCTGCCCCACTGTCCTTCATCTGCTTTTGTCCTTCGGCCTCACTGCCTTCTCTCAGATCCTTGACCACACAGGGCGTCCTCCTGCCACAGGGCCCTTGCTCGGACTTTTTGCTGTTGGAATGATATATGTTGCCCCTGCTTCATTACCCTTTGACTTTTTAATTCCTATATAAGCGTCACTTTTTTTAAGGGAAGGCCTTCCCTCCCGCTTCCCTAATCTTAAGCCACTGTCCTTTGTTATGTGCTTCATTCATTCCTTCCCTGCATTCCTTTCAGTTTGAAATATTCAGTCATTAATGTGGTGGTTTGATGAATGATGTTTTTCTTATTAGACTGTAAGCTCAGTGCCTGACCCAGCGTAGGCCTTCAGTAAATATTTACTGATAAATAATCTCCAGCCTGCTAGACATTGACCTAGCAACGGTCTTTTAAACTCCGTAATCAAGTCTTCCTGTATAGGCCCTGCTCCAGTGTCGGAGGTAGTTGCATCGTATGTGTGGACATTGCAGATGCTAGTGCTTCTGCTAGTGTTCTGCATTAGATCGCAGCCTCCTAAATGAAGGGCCGTATCTGCACTGTCTTCTGTGGCTCTCAATGTTATGTCCAGTGGACACAATGTATTTTCATAAGAAGGAGGTGTCAGATTATGCTATGACTCCATCATTGCCTGAAAAATGATGTTAGTTATTGGAAGAAATGATCGTAGCCATTGAAAACTTATTTTCTTAATGAATTTTACAAATTGTGTGCCAAACATATTATAGTCCCAACCTCTCCTAAGTGACCTAGGTCCTCACACATGGCAGATTTCAGAAAATATTGCTCCGGTGGTTAGGCGGAGAAGTTTCCTCTGAATGCTGAGGGAGGCGCAACAGGATGTGGCTCTCTTATTAGGTGCAGTCAAACGATTTATACTTTCTCTCCAGGAGAACATACCTACCATCTTCTTGGATATGTTGTGATTGGCAAACAGTGGCTGTTACTAAGTGCACCGAAGGTTTTGTTTGGCATTTTGTGGACTGAAACACACTGGCCATGACAACACTTGTTGGAAAGCAAAGGGCTTTAGAATGACTATTGCATTCATGAGTATTTCCAAACAGTAGCCTTTGGCAGTGGGGCAGCTGGGCTGTCGTAAACAGGTTTTACTGGTGTGTCCCCTGGGGCCACTTGGATAATTCCAGGAAACCCTTCTTTACCTGACCTCTTTCATGTTCCTTTGGAAGCGAGTGGCTTTCTTGTATGTCTTTCACGAAGACCACAGGTCCTGGAAACTCCATGGAGGTGGTGGGTGTGTCTGTTCAAGCTGAAGGGAGCAGGTGTTATGGTTTGAGGAAGACACAACTTGAGTGAGACACAGGCCCTTGAATAAGACACAGACCAGAGGCTGCTGGCTGTGACCCGCGGGCCAAACCCATCAGGTCTGCTCTGCAGATGTGTTTATTTGGGTCACACAGTGTTTCTCTTTTAAACATTAAAATTAGTTGCCAAGCTGTAAAAACTGGGGATTTTTGCTTCAAAAAGTCTGGATATATGACTTGTCTTGAAAAAGTGGGGTAATTTGGCCACGGCGGGTCTAGATTTCTGCACTGGCAGCCATCAGCTGAGGGCTGTCCCCTTCTCTGAGACAAGGACTCCTCAGGCACCACCATGCTCTCTCTGCTCTCGGGCATTCACTGGAGTCGCCTTCGTGACCCCCAGAGAGGCTCCGAGGTTGAGAATGAATGGCACAGCACATAATTATGAAGGAAGCTGCCTCTTAGCCCCATGTCGGGTCCCCTTCGTCTCTTCCCACACTGTTCTTTGTTGACTATAGGTTCTGATCAGAGGTCAAATAGCATTTGAGTGGTGGGGGGAAGTCTGTAAAGTGACACAGGCCAGTTCTTACCTGCCACCCTGGGGGAGCGCCCATTCATCCCTGGGCTGAGTCCTGTCCCCGTTAGAATTTTGAGAGTGAGAATGAAATGGTCTGAACAAAACCCTCCCCTGGGCGGCATTTCAACACATCTGAACTACAGAGGACGCGTCTGTGTTTAATCTTGCTCCGCACAGCTGCATGGAAAAGATTGTTTTCACTCTCCTTTGTATTTTGTCTTTTGGGGAACCCTATCAGGAAATTTACGACCATCTTCTGGAAGCCCCGGTCACTCGGGAGCAATTAAACCACTATCGGAATGTGGCTGAAAACGCCCAGAGTGAACTTGCAGCAACTTTGGTCAAATTCGAATGTGCTCAGTCCGAGGTAAGATTATGCGTCTCTGTAACCGGGACTTTAGCTTCTTGTAGAGCCGAGTGGAGCACAGAGGCGATCACAGATGGAACAGTAGGGCACAGGTTTAAACCTTCCTGCCCCACAGCCGTGAGAGGCCTGGGGGCACCCGAGCACCTTGGGTGGAAGCCGCCTGGGCTTTGGAGGACTCTCCGCATCTCTCGATGTGCTCCTTTCACGTGAATTGCTTGCAGCCTGGAGCTCCCAGGCTGGAGTTCTCAGTCCCTTTCTTGGGATAGTTCTGGGTGCTGGGGGACGTTCTAGGAAGAAGCCTGGAACCCGTCTCCCCGCTGGGCTGGATCAGGTCTGCTGTGGAATCTCTGAGAGGGGCTCTTTAGACCCATCCTGCTCACAGCCCGGTGGCCTTGAGGTTGAGGAGTCGAGGCTTGTCTGTAAGGCAGCTGTCGGTTTCATGGGGCTGCCAGGACCTCACTGAAGGATGAGTGGGTGATGGGTATGGGAGATACAGAGACAGGGAGAGAGAGGTAGAGAGAGGGGGGATAACGTATGACGCATGCGCACAGTGCCAAAGAAGTGCATGCATCCATAAAGGCTGCTTCTGGGGTGGGCTGATGGCATCACAGTGGAGCACGTACATTGTTCAGCATTTTGATGCCACAGAATTCATAAAAGCTAAAAAGTTTCCTTTGTGTAAATCCTGTAAGGGAAACGGTTGTGGCCATGAAATTACAAATAGCACAGCGTGTAGGTTCCTTGTTCCCTTCGAGCAGCAGTCGCAGGAGTATGGCTTTGGAAAACGGGTTACCATTGCAAAATATTTTATTGCCTTTTGCAAAACACACCACAAATGTCTCTTGAGGGAGACTAAATTACCACAAGACATTGCTCAATTGGTTATGGAAGAACCCCAAAACAGAACAGGAGGTCCATTATTTCGGCCTAATTTCCCGCCCGGTAATACAGATACAAATATGAAACAAAGAAAGGAAAGGTGGATTAAGTCATGAATACAATTACGGTTTCGGGTCTCTTCAAGGTCCTTCAGGCTTACGCCGTAGAGGTCCTTTTGGCCTTGTTCTCTCTTTTCCACGTTAGCTTCGAGACCTCCGGTCCAGAATGTTTTCTAAAGAAGATGCCTGTCAGGAACTGAAAGCCCAAGTGGAGACCTACAGAGAGAACCACGCCAGAAAGTCCTCCCTCCTCGCCTCCCTGAGAGACAGGGTTGGGGAGCTGGAGGCAGAAGCAGTGGCCCGCGCCGCCGCGAAGGCCAGGACAGAGGCCACGGCCCGCACGGCGGCCAAGGAGAACCAGGAGCTGAGGACGCGGCTGGAGGAACTCGACGAGGAACTGCAGTAAGGGCAGCTCAGGGTCTTTCTGAGCTGCAAACACTAGCTGCTGATAGCAGGATGCGCCTTTGGGTGTTCCAACGATTTGCATTAGTTAGCCTTGAAACTCAATTAAAAAAAAAAAAATATATATTTTTTATTGATGTCAGAGAGAGGGAGGGAGGAGAGAGAGACAGAAGCATCAAGGATGAGAGAGAATCACCCATCGGCTGCCTCCTGCACGCCCCCTACTGGGGATCGAGCCCACAACTCCGGCANATCACCCATCGGCTGCCTCCTGCACGCCCCCTACTGGGGATCGAGCCCACAACCCCGGCAGGGGCCTGACCAGGAATCGAACCGTGAAACTCCAGGTTCATGGATCAGTGATTAACCAATTATTGACCTCAGATGTGTTTGCTTTCCCTAAGTTCATTTCTTTTTTTTTTTTTTAAGATGTAGTTTTTTATTTTTTTATTTTTAAAGTATATCTTTATTGATTTCAGAGTGAGGAAAGGAGAGAGAGAGAGATAGAAACATCAGTGATGAGAGAATCATTGATCTGGGGATCGAGCCCGCAACCCGGGCCTGTGCCCTGACCGGGAATTGAACCCCGATCGCCTGGATCCTAGGTTGATGCTCAACCGCTGAGCCACGCCCGGCCTGGCCTAAGTTCATTTCTATATGTCACCAAGAGTCTTAACAAACACAGCATTGCCCTAAGTATGTTTGTGCCCTATTGACTAGGGCTGCAAATGCTTCTATAGACACTTTGGAAGACTTCCCCTAAGTAGAGGCTTGACCAGAAGTGGACATGGTGGAGCCGTGTACAGAGGGAGGAATTAATTCAGAAGCAAATAGGAAAATACCCCGGGAGCCCAGACTACCCCAGACACTCCTCATCTGGTTTTACTGCCAATTTGTGCAGAGAGCTCATGAAATCTAGGTCTCCCCACACTTGGCTGTGGCAAAAGGTGGTTATCGAGACAAAATTGAGAACTAGTGGTTCGTAAAATATACTTTTAAAATTCTACCTGCGATAACTTGACTGGTAAAATACTTGGTATTTATTTGATTTATTTCATCTTGAAAAAATACCCCAACACTTCCAGTTCCGGCTCGGTTTCTCCTTCCCCTTGCAGCGAACCTCCTACAAATGTTTGTGCGCACTCTCTGTGCCCGCTTCTCTCCTCTCTCCTCTCCTGGATCTGTCCCGCTGAATCCGCGCACTGAGCTCGCCCCTGACCGCACATTGCAGATTAGATGATTTAGTCTCTACCTTCCTTGACCTACCAGGACATCAGTCACAGCTGGTTTCTTCCTGAGTGTTTAGGCTTCCAGGGCACTCCCCATGCCTGCTCTCTGCTGGCCTTTCCCGCTGCTCTGTCCNAACACTGTCGTGTTTAGGCTTCCAGGGCACTCCCCATGCCTGCTCTCTGCTGGCCTTTCCCGCTGCTCTGTCCTGGTCTCTCTCGCTTTCTTTACCTCTTCCCCTTGACATCCAAGCCTTGGAGTGCCCGGGGCTCAGTCCAGGAATCTCTTTACCTTTCTAAGTCCACGCTCTTGGTAATCTCCTCTAGTCTCCTGACGTTAAGAATGACCTGGAGGCTGGTGACTCCCACATCTCTATATCGAGCCGGAATTTCTTCCCAGGATTCAAGACCCACGTGTTTTTCTACCTGCTAGGCGTCTCCACGTGGATGTCAAAGAGGCATCTCAAACTTCACGCGTCCAACACTGAGCCCCTGGTGTTTCCACAAAATGCACAGGATGCACTTTCTCATTTCATTTAATGATAATTTCATTTTTCTAGTTCAAATCAGAAATCTCAGATCATCCTCGGTTCTCTTCCATGTTCTAGGCCTGATCCTTCAGTAAATTCCGTGATCTCTATCCTCAAAATATTTCTAATTTTTGACAACACTCCATTGACACCCTCATTGCCACTATCGCCTGTCCAAGCAGCTATCCAAGCAACTATCGCCTGTGACCTGGATTGTTTCAATAGCCTCCTAAGTGGTTTTCCTGCCTTGGCCTGTGGCCCAGGCAGCCGGAGTGATCCTGCTAAAACACAGACTAAATCCTGTCAGAGCCTGTTCTTTGCTGACCCTTGAACACACCAGGTGTGATCCTACCTCAGGACTGTTACACTTGCTAATCCCTTTTCCTAGAAAGCTCTCCCCCCAGATAGTGCACGGCTGTCTCTCTGCCTCCTTTAGGTCTTCATTCAAAAGTCTCTTTCTTGAGAAGCATCTGAGATCTCACCTCCTGGCATTGTCATCAGTTTGGGCACAAATAAACTCTTATAAAAATTCAAAAGGATGTCACCTTCTCAGTGAGGGCTTCTGTGAGTAACCACATCTAAAATGTTACCCCAGTCCCCCCAAATATATCTTACCCTTTTCCTGCTTAATTTCCCCCCTTCAGCCCTTTTATAATATACTAGATATTCTACACACACATTAATATTTGTTCATCTCCCCACTAGAAGGTAAGCTCCATGAGGGCAGGGGTCTTTATTTGTTTTGTTTGCTACTGTATCTTTAGCACCTTTAATAGATCCTGATGTATAGTAAGTGCCCAGTAAATAGTTATTAAATAAGTGAGTAATAAAAATGATATATACTCACTATAAAAGTTTTTAAAATATAGAAAAGTGCCAAAAAGAAACTAAAATTACTCAAAACCTTGTGATTCCAGAAAAGCTATGGTTAACATTTTGTTGAGCAGATTTTCAGACAGTTGAACAGAAACGACATCATGTAATGAACAGTTTTTACTGAATAATATTGTTGATATTTTAGAAGGTCTTTCATTATATCATTTTTAATGGCCCGTGGTATTCCATTGCCTGAAATATCATAATTTACTTAGTTTTCTTTGCTATATTCTGTAGGTATGTAGGTTAGTTCCACTAAAAAAAGTGGCTCAGAACCAAGATGCAATGAATATCCACATGCACTCATATTTCTACATTTTTGTGATTATGTCCTTGGGATAGACCCCTGGATCTTTGCTGGCTCAAACTGAAATGCACATAGAAGTGGAAATAGTTTAGAAACCTTCAGCATAGAGAAGTGAGATTGAAATCTTGGGCTTAATGTATGGAATCTTCTATATAAAATCAATCAGAACTATAGCATTAATTGTGCCTTTCATGAGTCAGAGAGACTGAATAAATATTACCTTTCATATGCTGGAAATAAGAACCTAGAGATGTATTGACGTTGGTCTTTTATTGTTATACATTTTTCTAAATAGAAATATTATATGCTTTTGAGTCTGTGCAATTACACGCTTTGTTAATCTTTGAATAGAGTGAAAGGATACTCAATAAACACTCAACACAGCAAAACGGGAAAGCAATAATCATGTTTATTATCTGGAATACCGAAAAAAAAAGATAACAAATTGCTGAAACGATTTCTAATTTGCCTTTAAAATATGTCTATTTTATAAGGCTCTCTTAACCTTTAACAGTTAAAGCATGAGAAACAGACTGTGCTATCTCAGCAAACCCACCTGAGAGCTGAAATCAAGTATTTGTAGCAGAACATAAATGGACTGATTTTCCTTGACTGGTCCCTTCCTATATGCTTTAAAAACTCTGGGTTTGCCCGGCTGGTGTGGCTCAGTGGTTGAGCATCAACCTAGGATCCAGGAGATCGGGGTTCAATTCCCTGTCAGGACACATGCCTGGGTTGTGGGCTTGATCCCCAGTCGGGGGCGTGTAGGAGGCAGCCGATCAATGACTCTCATCATTGATGTTTCTCTCTCTCTCCCTCTCCCTTCCTCTCTCTGAAATCAATAAAAACTTTTTTTTTTTTTTTAAAGAAGAGAATAAAAAACCCTACAAAACTCTGGGTGCCTGAGAACTAATAACAACTTTCGCTGTGATGAAACCTCTCTCTTTTCCCGATGTGGGAGCACCCCCTTTTCCCCTGTATTTTTTATTATGCCATGAACTAGGGAATGACCTAACTGACCCTTACAGATCATTGTATGGTGTTTGAAAATAAAATAAGCGTGGTCCCCTAGGACTAATGTCGCAGCACCCTTCTGCTTCCCCGCGGGACCCCAACAGAGACCCATGGAGCGTGGATCCACGTGTGAACTAGAGGCCTGTCCGCCACTTGTGCAGATCCAGAAGGCTGGGGACAGCTGACAGAGAATCTGCCTTCCTGGCTGTCACTGTCTCTAAGATGCCGTGAAGATTCCCCTACATTTCTTCACAGTGTAGATGCCCCAGAATTGCTTCCTCTTTTCTCCTGCCTTTCCAGGGCTTGCGTGACAGTGACATGCTCTGCGTCCGGGAAACCGTGTTGAAAGTGATGGTTTCCCACGGAGGGCTTAAGCGCGGGACCTTGACGCCTGTTATGGTGCTAAAACTTGACTTCTTTGTTATTCGCCCGATAGAAAGTGTTTAAAGGAAAACGAAGACAGTGAGCGCCGAGTCTCAGAGACCTGCAGGGAACACGAGGAATTTCGGGCTCAACTTTGTGACTGCTTAGAGCCCGACAAGAGGACTGAGAGGACATCGGATGAAGATTTAATTCTAAAGGTATTAAAAAGACTGTGCATGTAGGGGGTCATTTTGACATGTGCCGTGAAAAGAAGAGCTGTGGCTGAGTCTGCGAGTGGTGAGAGAAGGGGGCATGGTCCAAATGCCACATTACCTGAGTGCGTGACCTGGGACAAACCGTGTCACCTCTCAGCCTCAGTTCCAAGACCCTTTCCAGCATTATTGGGGATTAACTATTCTCCAGAAAGAATTAATTGTTTTTGTCTAAAATATGTTTCGGTTGACAAATACAATGAGCTATTCAATTTAGTGATGTGATTTAGGAAGATTTTTGTTTAAGACAGAAACACACACACACATAAAAGAAAAAACAGCTGTGTGTCATTTTGGGAATATTTGTTGAGTATAAAGCACTTTTTATTATTACGTCACAGCCCCAGAATAACAGTCCCGCTCTAATGGTAGGTTGCCGTCCAGATGGAAATGAACTATCACCTGAACCGTTCCCTCGGCCCATAGTGATTCACTAGGGCACCTGGAGGTGTCTGAGCTCTCGCCATATCTTCGCTCCTTTTCTGTCTGAGTTTTTCACATCCTTGCTCCCTGGCAGGTTCCCACACAGCCATTCCTAAGGGCACCTCCCAGCTGTTTGTTAGTCTGCTCCCCACATATCCCTGAAAGCTGGACGTGCCAGCTTCACTGATGGGTGGCTCAGGCCTAGAGTCAGCCTGGTACCCTGGTGGGTGCTGGGTGCGGCTCCTCCTCCTCGCTGTTGCTAACCTGTGGCCAGGAGCCTGGCTGCAAAAGTCTCTTCGGAGGCGTAGTTGGGGGATACTCTTTAAGGCCAAGTGGTGGGACAAAGAAAAGGGAATCCAGGAGCTCCTTTCACACCACCCTTTCCCAGGTCAGAGCCAACCTCCAGGTGCTAAAGTGGGTGTTGATATTTCATTAATCATGCCGTTTTATTTTCCGAATTTCTAAGGCTTGGACAGCTGGGGAGACTGCCACTCCCAGGGCTACTCAGTTCTTAGTAAGTGACTCACCTGGGAGCACAACTTTCAGATGCAAACCAACCACTCCAGAGCCCACACCCCAGCCACTTCTAGCTCTGGCCACTCTCCCTCTGCCTTAATCACATCCCAGTGCCAGGTACCAGACAACTAGGGACAGCCCCTGCATGCCAGGGCCTGCTGAAATTATTCAAACTGGCCCACCCTAAGCCTGCTTCTCCTGCCTCATCCATGTTTTCCCCTCACCCCGTCTGTCTCCTGACTGCCCTGGTGCTTCCCCTTGTATCAATGAGAAGGATTTGTTTTTAAAAGTCCTTGCCTGGCCGGCGTGGCTCAGCGGTTGAGCGTTGACCTAGGATCCAGGAGATTGGGGTTCAATTCCCGGTCAGGGCACATGCCCGGGCTGTGGGCTCGATCTCCAGTGGGGGGCGTGCAGGAGGCAGCTGATCAATAACTCTCCCATCATTGATGTTTCTTGCTCTCCCTCTCCCTTCTTCTCTCTGAAATCAATAAAGACATATTAAATATATTAAAAAAAAGTCCTGCTTTCTTCTCTGTATTTCTCTCCTGTGCCAGGTAGTGCTGTGCATGCAGTCAGTGCTTCCTTTCCCACACGCCCAGTGGCTGGGGCTGCTGTGCCCTCTGTAGACCATCACCTTCCCTTGATCATTTGACGTCAGGGTGCTTGTCTTGTCTGGAAGCTTTTGGCTGAACTCTCATCATTGTTACCTTGTAGCTACTTAAAAAAAAAA